TCACCGATTTTACACACGTTTGTGCCAGAATTATCATGAAATATCGGGGCTTTGCAATGATTAGACTTTTGTGTACTTGGGGGGGAGGCAACCGGGAAGGTGCAGGGGGGGGGGGGCAGGGAAGAAGCCCCCGGGGTCCAGCTGGAGCAAGCCAGGCCAAGGGTCACTTCCTCCCTTTCCCAGGTTTAGGGCCCAGCCAGAAAAGAAGCGGATCGTTACAGAGCAATGATCTGATTTTTGGCTTGTGTGCCAAAAGCAGGGGGAGTGCAGGGGGGGGGGGGCAGGGAAGAAGCCCCCGGGGTCCAGCTGGAGCAAGCCAGGCCAAGGGTCACTTCCTCCCTTTCCCAGGTTTAGGGCCCAGCCAGAAAAGAAGCGGATCGTTACAGAGCAATGATCTGATTTTTGGCTTGTGTGCCAAAAGCAGGGGGAGTGCAGGGGGGGGGGGGCCGTGCCCGGGAATGCCACACCCAAAATGCTTTGAAATTGACACCAGCCCGTCATGCGTACATGACCAGACCTCCCCCTCCCCCATTTTTGGCATGCTTTTTTTCGCCCTCCCCAGGCTCCAGAGGCTGGAGAGGGCAAAAACAGCCCCCCCATCCTCCCCCGGAGACTCCGGAGCATGAAAAACAGGAACTTACTTCCAGTTTGCTCGTAGGGTCATTTTTTGTCCTCTCGAGCTTGCAGGGAAGCCTCCGGAAGGCTCTGGAGAAGTGTTTTCTCAACCTTGGCAACTTGAAGATGTCCGGACTTCAACTCCCAGAATCCCCCAGCGAATGCTGGCTGGGGGATTCTGGGAGTTGAAGTCCGGACATCTTCAAGTTGCCAAGGTTGAGAAACACTGCTCTGGAGGGCTAAAACCAGGAGGGTGAAAAATGGCCTCAAAAGGCGGCCAAAGCCAGCGTGCGCATGTGTGCTGGCCAGATGAAAGGGCAACGCCTCGCGTGCCCTGACAAATGGCTCCCCGTGCCACCTGTGGCATGCGTGCCATAGATTCCCCATCACAGTTATAGAGGGAAAATGGTGGTGGTGGTGGTGGGATTGAGAAGATCTAGCCCAGCGCTTCGGACTTGGGGTCACATTTGGAGCCCTGGCGTGAGAACCAAAGTAGGTGCCACTGGCAACTCACGGAAGCGGAGACCTCAAAAAAAAAAACCCAAACGCCTGTGCAATTTTAAGGTTGGCAGCTGTGCAATTGTGGAAAGAGAGGCCCCCGCTTGGGTGAGCCGCATGAAGGCGTCGCATTTGGCTCTGAAGCAGGGGGAGGGGGCTTCGCTTCCCATCCAGATCCAACACGAAAAAGCCACTTTCGGCAAATCGTTAACACAACACTAGTAACCAATTGAACGTCTGGGGGGAGGGGGGGATTACATGGCCCCCTCCCTCTTCCATGCACTTTTTCCTGTTAGTGTCCGCCCGCTCCCCCTGCCCCCCGTGAAATGCTGGAGGGCCACCTGAGCTGATTTAAGGGGGCCGAACAGAACCAACGCACGGCGTGTGGGGTTAACCCAGCAGGAACCGAAGAACCTGGGAAGAGACACCAAAAACGTAACCCCACGGCTGAACCCCGGCAGAGCCCCCCTTCCTCCCTGGCCGTCTCCCCAAAGAAAACGGACATGGAGACGTAACCTCCAAGCGTCTTCCGAGCTGTTCGGGGAAGTCGGGACGGGACGATCCACCAGAGGAACCTGACAGGATTCCCCAAACGCGTGACCCGACAAATGCGCGCATGACAAAAGTGCGCCGACAAAACTGCGGCGCTAAAACCGCAATGTCATCAACGCGCTGACAACAGCGCGCCGACAGAAGCGCGATTTAAGTTAAGGTAAGGGTTAAGTTTAGGGTTAGGTTTAGGGTTAGGATTAGGGTTACAGCGCGCTTCTGTCGGCGCGCTGTCGGTGCGCTTCAGCGCTCATTCGTCGGCACGCTTTAGAACTCGCGGTTTTGTCACCGCGGTTTAGTCAGGTGCGCTTTTGTCGTTCGCCCTTTTGTAGGTGAACCCCCCAAACGCTGGGCCAGGCCAAAGGGGCATCTCTCCTAAGCTCAGGCTCCCCTCCTTCCCTAGCTGGCCGAGGTCTGTCCATCTCTGGGCAAACTGCCCCAGGTTGGGCGGGTCTCCTCTCATCTCCGGAGGCCGGAGAGCAAGAGGAAAAGGCACAGGTGGGATGGCGGGATGGAGGGCAGGGGAGAAGAGCCGGGAGGGGTCTGGGAGGAGCTGCTCAAGCCAAAGGGGGGGGGGGGACTTGTGGACTTGGCTGGGGAATTCTGGGAATCGAAGTCCCTTTGTCTTCAAGCTGACAAGGTTGGAGAGCCCTGTCCAATTATTTGACCCACAAGGAAATCTCCCCACCCCACCGAAGTGGGGTTCGGAACAGCAGCCGTGGCTCACCCTCGTCTTTGGACCCACATCTCCTGCCCCACCTTGGCTGAGCTTCACACAACACCCCTCCATTGACACACAACCCCCCCCCCCGACCCTTCCCTTAGCCAAACCATGACTAAATTGGAACACGCCTCCCCGCCCCCACCCCGCACCCCCTGCTTCAGCTGAGTGGAAATCAGAAAATGAAAGACCCGGGATGGGGAGGCGGAGCCCCCTCCCCTCCCCATGAGCCAAGGCCCCCCTTTCTGTCCCCTTCCCCCGCAGAGAGACGGCAACGGGGACCCAATGACAAGAACAGCTCCTTTAATGGGAAGGGGCGGATTAAGGGCCTGCCTTCGGGGGTCTTAGGTCGGGCTTCACCAGGAGGGGCCGACGGCGGGGGAACGAATCGATGCCAACAATACCGAAACAACAGAAAAGTCGGACAGCACAAGAGGGCAGGCGGAAAGAAAGAACTGCCGAGCATCTTTTGGGGGGTCCCCGATGCTCCGCGAGCCCAGGACAATGGGCCCCTTCCAGGCAGGGGTGCCAGGTGGGCTTCTCCGGGCCCCCTGTTTCCAGTTCCCCCCTGGAGGAATAAGAAGAAGAAAAGCCAGCGTATCCTCCCACGGAAAAGACTCATTCAGTCTAGGTGACCAATTCCATTTCTCGGAGACATCATTCCCGCCCCCTTCTTCCCCTCCCTCTCTCTTCTTTTTTTAAGGAAAATAATTTTGCAAAAAAAAGAAAGAAAGAAAAATATTCCTCCCAAGGAGCGCCTGAGGAGAGGCAGGAGAGGAAGAAAATTGGGGGGAACCTCCCCCCCCCCAAAAAAACCACCAAATTATCCACCGCCGGTGGTTCAGGGGGCCGTCTGCAGCATCAAATTCCTCAGGAGTTTCTGGCGGCCCACCTCATAATCCTCCTCGTCCACGTTGACCAGGAGTTTGATGGCCTCGTGGCCCACGGCCTGCTTGAGCGAGTCTGTGATGAAGACGCCCTTCAGGGCCTCCAGCAAGGAGCCGTTGATGTAGTCGCGCCAGAAGGCGTCCAGGTACGTCAGCTCCGAGAACTTGATGTCGCAGATGATGGAGCCCAGATCCCGGGACTTCAGGATCGTGTTGGCCTGGCTGAAACGTTCAAACTGGCGCTCCAGGGGGTCCTGCTTGTTGGAGAAGACGTTGCCCTCCAGGGCCGTCTCGTGCTGGCAGTATTCGGCCCGGACTCGGAGGCGGATATCTGCGGGGTGGGGGGGGGAGAGGGGAGATACCAGCAAGACCGTTAAGAGGCAACCGGAGAACTGGGAGGAAGAGCATTTCAAATCCGGCACGGAGAAGGGAAGGAGGCAGGGAGGTCATCGGGAACGAAGGGAAGGGTAGTGTTGTGGCCTGTGGCGACCTGCCCCTCCAACAGCTGAGTCAGAGGAGGAGGCCTGGGAGTCAGCACCAAGGCAACTTGGGAGCTCCGAGGGGACGAGGCATGGAGCTGGCAGAGAGAGAGAGGGAGAGGGAGAGAAGGAGAGGGGGAGAGAGAGAGAGGCGGAGTCTGAGCTATCCATCAGCCCTCAGATGGAGAGTCAACAGCCCCCAGGTCTGGAGATGGTTGATGAGGAACAGCTGAGTCCCGTGCCTGACGCGCGAATGCACACAAGGCAGAGAGGAGAGGAGAGCAGAGGAAATCTATGGGCTGGTCCTTGGAACGGAAGAGCCACCGCTCTTAGCGAAGCCCCACCTGAGCTCTGGGGATCAAAGGCAGAGGGCGGAGATGAATAGATGGGGCAGAGGAGAGGAGAGCAGAGGAAATCTATGGGCCGGTCCTTGGGACGGAAGAGCCACCGCTCTTAGCGAAGCCCCACCTGANGGCGATATGCTGACTCTGTAAACCGCTTAGAGAGGGCTGAAAGCCCTATGAAGCGGTATATAAGTCTAACTGCTATTGCTATTGCTATTACAGCTTTAGCGCGATGCCTTTTTGGAATGCCAACATTCTACCCACGGAGGAAGAGAAGCGGGGTTTAAATTAGATTTCTTTAAATGGTAAAGATCAGATGCAGAAGGACATCAGCCGACAGAGGGTCCAACCTGCAGACCCACCCCCGGTATTGTCTTTTATTTTATACTATCCAAGCTTTAAACTGCAGAAAGGGAGTAAACCAAGGTCTGTTAAGCAGAACCAGGGCTGAAGAAACATTTCCAGCCATGCAGACAGACAAGGGAGGAAACAACGAGACTTTCGGGTGGCTGCTTTAAGACTTGTGGACTTCAACTCCCAGGGTTCCTGGCTGAGGAATTCTGGGAGTCGAAGTCCACAGGTTTTAAGGTGGCGAAGGTTGGAGAGGCCTAACGTCACGGGGTTGGGCTTTTTTAAAATTTTATTTTATAAGTTTCTTAAAAGCAGCGGGATGGAATTCAGCCGAAAGATCAGAGTTGTCCAACACAGGGAAATAATGCAAAAAACGTCACTTGCACAAGTTGCACGAGGCCCTTTGTGTGGCTACACAGGGTCATTTTGTCTGAAGGGCCGAGCTTGGCCAACCTGCAGAAATCTTCACCAACAGGGCTCAGGGCAACATTTCCCAACCTTCCCTTCTCTGGACTTCAACTCCCAGAATTCTCCAGCCACCTCGGTCAATTCTCTACAGCAGCATCACCTACAATGTCATTGTATTGAGGAGGGAGGGAGGAGGAGCAGCAAAAAAAGGAGCGAGAGGAAGAGTAGTAGTAGTAGTAAGAAAGGGAGTGAGGAAGGAGAAGGAGGAGCAAGGAGGGAGGGAGGATGAAGAGGAGGAGAAGGAGGAGCAAGGAGGCGGGGGGAGAGATAGGGAGGAGGAGGAGGGAGGGAGGAGGAGCAAGGAGGCGGGGGGAGAGATAGGGAGGAGGAGAAGGAGGGAGGAGGAGAAGGAGGGAGGAGGAGCAAGGAGGGGGGGAAAGATAAGGAGGAGGAGCAGGGAGGGAGGAGGAGAAGGAGGAAGGAGGAAGGAGGGGCAAGGAGGAGGAGCAAGGAGGTGGGGGAGAGATAGGGCAGAGGAAGAGCAGGGAGGGAGGAGAAGGTGGAAGGAAGAGCAAGGAGGCGGGGGGAGAGATAGGGAGGAGGAGGAGCAGGGAGGGAGGGAGGAGAAGGAGGAAGGAGGAGGAACAAGGAGGNGAATTCCCCAGCCAGCGAATGCTGGCTGGGGAATTCTGGGAGTTGAAGTCCGGACATCTTCAAGTTGCCAAGGTTGAGAAACACTGTGCTAGGACCTGTTGGCAGCCATGCTTAGCCTGTCCCCCCCAATACTGAGCTCTGTCATCTGCAGGGGGTTGGACTAGAAGACCCCCCAGGGTCCCTTTCCAGCCCCATGATTCTAGGCCGTCTGAGGAAGCGGATGGGTCTGGGGGCAAACGGGTGGAGCCCAGAGGGTCCCGCGTAAAGTGCTTGTCGGGAACCTCACCGCAGGTCTGTTTGTCCTTCGGGTCCGGCGTCACAGACTTCCTCCTTTTCCGCTGGTTGCCGAGCAGCGCCCGTCCCCGGCCGGATCTCTTGGCGCAGATCTGGGGGCCCGAAGAGGAGCAGCAGACCAACGGGTGGTGGGGAGGCACTGCGGAACACACAAAACGTCAAGGGGTTCAAAGCCAGGCTGGGTTTGCTTTGGGGGGGCATGGAAATTAAGCCGGTCGGTCTGGCTTAGCGGTTGAGTTGATACAGAAGAGAGAGAGGCTGGGAGAGGGGGAGCTCCAGGGTGGATAAAAATAGATGATTTTTCTTTAAATTTTATTCGCCTTTTTTATTTTTATCAAATTTGTTTTAATAAAATGCTTTTTGTCAGCTACTGAGGATTTAATGGCTGCCAGCTGATGTAAGGTTGTAAACTGTAAGCTGTAAGCTGATGCAATGTGGATGAATCATAGAAATAGGTATAACCAGTTTAAGACTCTGGTGGGGTCCACACAAGTCGTTTACCGTTTTAAAAGGTGCCTATATATAGGTGGCCGTTAGAGGGTGTTTCTCTCATCGTGTATCTCATTTCTCTCCTTGTGCAGTAAGGGATTTATCTACCATGTGAATGTCTGTATATATTTGTGTATAAACCACTATTAATTGTCTGAAGGCTCTGTGTTTCGCTCCTGCGTTTATCTCATAATAATAGTCAGTCTGCCAAAACTCTTGACACTTTTGGAGTAAAAAAATCATCTAAAGGTAGTTTACTATTTAAGATAACATTAATAATTTTGTTTATTCAGCATGAAATGGAGCTTAGTTATGTAGCCTGAGGCTGTCTATTCTGCAATATTTACATTTTTGATAAACTCATTCCAGGAATCCATGCTCTGCAATATTAAAGATTCTAATTACCAGCAAGAATGAGTCCATACATTGACAGAGCACCTGTCATTTCAGATCCATCAGGGTGGCAGCGCCTGTTAGTGGGCATCCACTCACCTGCAGCCCTACACGTCCCTCACCTGGTTGTGTCCTTGCCGCATCACCAGCCATCCCATTAAAGTGAACGGGACTGTCAGTGAGTCAACAGCAGGTCAGAGGAGGGGCCGCTGCAGGACAGAGATGACGGTGGCTCTTTAAAAAGTATGAGTTAAATTGTGACCCAACAAAAGGGCAAACGACAAAACCGCGCCCGACTAAACTGTGACGCTAAAACCACGACGTCATCAACGCGGCAACAACAGGGCGGAGATAGAAGGGCGCTTTACAACAGCGCTTCGACAGAAAGCCGATTTAACTTAAGGTAAGGGTTAGGTTTAGGGATAGGTTTAGGGTTAGGTTTAGTGTTACGTTTAGCATTACATTTAGGGTTAGGGGTTAGGTTTAGGGTTAGTTTTAGTTTTACAGTGCGCTTCTGTCGCCGCGCTGTTGTCGGCACGATTCAGCGCTCATTCGTCGGAGCGCTTTAGAACATGCAGTTTTGTCACCGCGGTTTAGTCGGGCACAGTTTTGTCGTTCACCCTTTTGTCAGTGAACCGATTTAAATTGAGTTGATTTAAACCAAGCCATTTTACTAGTGATTTCAACCAGGATTTAATCTTAGACTTGATTTAAATCAAATCCACCTGGGTGACTTCTAGTTCTCCCAAAGGCATGGAAGCTGTCGGGTGACTTGGGATAGTCATTCCTGTTAGCCATTTTTTTAAAAAAGAAAATTTACTACCGGTTCTGTGGGCTTGGCTTGGTGGTGGGGGTCCTGTGACTGAGTGGGCGTGGCCAACTCGATGTCCCTCATTAGTGAATGCTGCATTTAGCGTTGAATTCTGTGGTGGAGATAAAAACATTCAGATTGTCTCTGCCACAGAATTCAGCGTTAAATGCAGCAGAGGCAATCCGAACGTTTCTCCCTCCATTCACAGAAGAGCTGCTGCTCCCTTTATGGTCCCCCCAGCTCCCTCCCTCCCCGGGTCTATCTTAAAGGGACAGGCTGCAGCAGCTGTGCTGTGAATGGAGGGAGAAACGTTCAGATTGTCTCTTCTGCATTTAACGTTGAATTCTGTGACAGAGACAATCTGAATGTTTTTATCTCCACCACAGAATTCAACGCTAAATGCAGAAGAGACAAGTGGCCAAGGTTGAGAAACACTGTTATAGAGTGCTCCTGGGGGCTGAGGGAAGGGGTAAAATTGAACAAAAAACGGTCAATTTTTTGCTCATTTCTGCCCCCCCCCCCAGCCCCCAGAGGGTCTCTGAAAGCCTCCCTAAGGGTATTCATGGCCATTTTGGTGAATGGGGCGGGGTTTCAGTTGGAGAGCCATTTGCCTGAAACGGTATAGGGCTTCCTGCCTAGGCAGGGGGTTGGGCTAGAAGACCTCCGAGGCCCCTTCCAACTCTGCTATTGTATTGTATTGTATCGTCCTTGTTGCTCTTCTCTGCTGCACGCTTTCTAGAGTCTCCACATCCTTTTTTTTTGGTATTGCGGTGACCAAGTCTGGTGTCCCCACTGCCAGGGGTGACCTTTAAGCCAAGGTGTACAAACCGAAGTGCATCCGGAGACTCAGCTGTTGAAGGTGGAGACATGTACGAAAACTCACCAGATTTGTGTTGGTGCACAGGGAGATGCTCCGTATTGCTATGGTCTCGGGGCGTCACATAGCGGATCGAAGTTTCTTCGAGGTACTTATCTACAAGGTCGGGACATACTGAAGGGGAAGAAAGGAAAACGTGTGACGGACGAACTGCCAACCGTACAAAAACAGTAATAATTGGAAACACAGGTAGTCCTCGACTTACAACCGCAATGGAGCCCAACATTGCTAAGTGAGACAGTTGTTAAGTGAGTTTTTGCCCCATTTTGCAGTTAGTCACACAGTTGTTAAGTGGCTTCCCCACTGTCGGGCGGTTACAAAAGGCGATCGCAGGATGCTGCGACCGTCATAAACGTGAGTCAGTTGCTAAGTGTCTGGATTTCGATCATGTGACCACGGGGAATGGTCATAAGCGGAGGTTCAGCCGTTTCGACTAGGTGGCCCCAAATGCTAACGGGAATTGCGCTCTCCTGCCCCGGCTTCATGCCCTCCGCATTAGGCACATTTTTGAGGCCGAGCACATGCACGGAAGGCCAGGTGCATGGGTGGAAGTAGGCACATGGCAAACCCACTTGGCAGCAACATGTGACACCACCGCTGGTCGTAAGTGTGAAAAATGGTCGTACGTCACTTTTTCCAGGGCCGTTGTAACTTTGAACGGTCACTAAAGGAACTGTTGTAAGTTTGAGGACTACCTGTATGCCTTCAGAGCCGAGGTGGCGCAGTGGTTAGGGTGCAGTACTGCAGGCCACTTCAGCTGACTGCAGTTCTGCAGTCCAGCGGTTCAAATCTCACCGGCTCAAGGTTGACTCAGCCTTCCATCCTTCCGAGGTGGGTGAAATGAGGACCCAGACTGTGGGGGGCGTTTGCTGACTCAATTTGCGCTGACTCTGTAAACCGCTTAGAGAGGGCTGAAAGCCCTATGAAGCGGTATATAAGTCTAACTGCTATTGCTATTGCTATTACAGCTTTAGCGCGATGCCTTTTTGGAATGCCAACATTCTACCCACGGAGGAAGAGAAGCGGGGTTTAAATTAGATTTCTTTAAATGGTAAAGATCAGATGCAGAAGGACATCAGCCGACAGAGGGTCCAACCTGCAGACCCACCCCCGGTATTGTCTTTTATTTTATACTATCCAAGCTTTAAACTGCAGAAAGGGAGTAAACCAAGGTCTGTTAAGCAGAACCAGGGCTGAAGAAACATTTCCAGCCATGCAGACAGACAAGGGAGGAAACAACGAGACTTTCGGGTGGCTGCTTTAAGACTTGTGGACTTCAACTCCCAGGGTTCCTGGCTGAGGAATTCTGGGAGTCGAAGTCCACAGGTTTTAAGGTGGCGAAGGTTGGAGAGGCCTAACGTCACGGGGTTGGGCTTTTTTAAAATTTTATTTTATAAGTTTCTTAAAAGCAGCGGGATGGAATTCAGCCGAAAGATCAGAGTTGTCCAACACAGGGAAATAATGCAAAAAACGTCACTTGCACAAGTTGCACGAGGCCCTTTGTGTGGCTACACAGGGTCATTTTGTCTGAAGGGCCGAGCTTGGCCAACCTGCAGAAATCTTCACCAACAGGGCTCAGGGCAACATTTCCCAACCTTCCCTTCTCTGGACTTCAACTCCCAGAATTCTCCAGCCACCTCGGTCAATTCTCTACAGCAGCATCACCTACAATGTCATTGTATTGAGGAGGGAGGGAGGAGGAGCAGCAAAAAAAGGAGCGAGAGGAAGAGTAGTAGTAGTAGTAAGAAAGGGAGTGAGGAAGGAGAAGGAGGAGCAAGGAGGGAGGGAGGATGAAGAGGAGGAGAAGGAGGAGCAAGGAGGCGGGGGGAGAGATAGGGAGGAGGAGGAGGGAGGGAGGAGGAGCAAGGAGGCGGGGGGAGAGATAGGGAGGAGGAGAAGGAGGGAGGAGGAGAAGGAGGGAGGAGGAGCAAGGAGGGGGGGAAAGATAAGGAGGAGGAGCAGGGAGGGAGGAGGAGAAGGAGGAAGGAGGAAGGAGGGGCAAGGAGGAGGAGCAAGGAGGTGGGGGAGAGATAGGGCAGAGGAAGAGCAGGGAGGGAGGAGAAGGTGGAAGGAAGAGCAAGGAGGCGGGGGGAGAGATAGGGAGGAGGAGGAGCAGGGAGGGAGGGAGGAGAAGGAGGAAGGAGGAGGAACAAGGAGGCGGGGGAGAGATAGGGAGGAGGAGGAGCAGGGAGGGAGGGAAGGAGGGAGAAGGAGGAACAAGGAGGCGGGGGAGAGATAGGGAGGAGGAGGAGCAGGGAGGGAGGGAAGGAGGGAGAAGGAGGAACAAGGAGGCGGGGGAGAGATAGGGAGGAGGAG